ACACACACACACACACAAAAACATATACACAGATACATACACACAGACACATACACACACACAGGGTTTCGACAATATGCATTTTGTGCAACTGTTGCACAACACAGGGAAAGCATAAAAATTAAAATGTTTTATTACGATACGTAAAAAAGCAAGAACATACAAATGATTGCTCATTGTGAAAACAATAAAACTCGCAAAAAAAAAACAATTTTCCCGCCTTGAATTTCATGTTTTTGCTCTTCTCAGAGCGTTATGAGGGCGCAAAATTTGCTGCTGCACTGCTGCAGACGGCTTTTCATTTTCACCTAAATAGAAACAAGTCCCGTTGGAATAATAGTTCAATACTTCCCGAACCAAAATTATTGGTTAGAAGATACCGCTAATCTGCAAATCTGTAAGAAATTTGTTTTTTGTTACACTGATAAACCGGTGTTTTGACCTTATTTTGTCGTTCAACAAAACCTTCTGAATTAAAGCTGAGTTTGCCAACGACATATCTCATCATTTCGCGGTTCCGAATCTCAGAATCCGCTTGCATCTCCAGACAATTTATGGCCTTACGTGTTACGAAATACACACGGAATCACGCGACGTATACGGCTATCGAGTAGACAATCTGCTGAAGTAGTGATAAAGCGTCAAACTGAGAAATTCACAGCTGCTGGAATGTGCGTCCTCTGAAACACAAAACATCTGTCTTTGAAAAGTTTAATGTTCGATTTCTTCTTTTGGCCAAATTCAGCCTTGAATAATCGAGGAAACAATGCCAGATACATAGACCGCGCGGTGAAAAAAAAATGATCAAAGACCATAAAAAACCAGGGTGACAGTAATCGATTTTATAACTGGCACCACAATAATCGTGAATGTTAGATCACCAGCAGACTGGTATGCGTGGTCCTCACGTACGGCCCAGTAAAGTTTTTCGGCGGGAAAATCGCTAACTCGGGGACCAGAAAAGCAGGGAGGCTAAAATTTTATGAGGACGTTCCCGATTCACATACAACTTAAAGATTTCAAATTCAGCCCCCAGACATGCGCAGTTCTCAACTACAGCTCGTGAAAGGTGATGGTCAATGTAAGTGGAACAGTTGTCAGCTGTACAGTTGACGCTGAATCAAGTAATTCAAATATAAGAATTTTGCAACACGTGATTTCAGCACAGAATCACTGGTAGCTATGTTTAAGGACTACAAAAGCAACGGAGATATATCTTACAAATTTTCCGGGTAAAAACCACGAGAAAAGGATCATTACCAGAATCACTATCAGCAAAAAAATCATGAGATAAATTATAGAAATTACGAAAAAAAAAATCGTGAAAAGAAAAATCATCATTATGTGTCGCCAAAACAAACCTGGGAAGATTGTTCGACTGCATCAAGGATGCAAAAACATGACTGCTATGAAACAACGGATAATCAAAAGTTAACTTTAAAAAATACTTACGAGAATGTTTTCTTCTCGACGCGTCCCTCCGGCCTTGCTCGATTTAAGATTTTCAAAAAATCGTTCGTTTTGGCTCGCATTCTTGAATGCATGTATGCCTGCAATTATGTTTGCAAATTTCGTAAAATCATTCTTTTTTGCAAAAAACTCATACGGCTTGATGGCCCTACATCCCAATTATTGCTGCCAAGCCTTTTTTTCAAGTACATATATGTATATATCAAGACTACCCAGGCTATCAATGTTTGGATATTCCATGTTAGTGATGTTACTCTGATGCTCTTATACGCCGGTCGCAGCTACGACAAATTCTGAAGAAGCTCCTGGTACTTTCACGCTAGTAAGCGCTGCCTATTAAAACCCTCGTTTTACTTAATCTCCGCAGTAAACCGATATCGGCCTAAAAACACCGGATACCTACGCTTATCAGCATAGACCACTAGCAGGTAGCTACGTTCTGGATCAGAGATCGCACATAACAGCAGGTGTTTCAGGAAGGAAAAGCCAAGATTATCCTTAAGCCAGGAAGAGGGCATCACATAATTACAAAAAGAAAAATTCTAGCAATAAACTAGGTTTACGACGATTTTTCGCTTCGCTCACTAACCTTCGAACATTTGATATGATAATGTAGATAATCACGGAATGTATGTATCAGATTGATCGTATTTTCTCGTGCCTGGGCATTCGTATGCCTTGGAAATAGTACTGAAAATGTATCGATTAATAGTTACTGCTTTTAAATCTGCTTCAAATAAAAATTCGCGATAATCACATCATCAGATATATTTTAACTAAAAATTTTACAATGTTCTATGAAACAAATTAATAAAAGAGTACACTTTGACGTAATCTCTCTACGATTTGTTTATTCGATAAATCAGTACACACATATGCCAGGAAGTTAAACCCGCCACTGGCTTGCTTGCAAACGACTCTCGAAGCCCTTCACAAAAAACGAAAGCGAAAGAGGTCAATTTCTGAATTTTTTGACTTTGTTGACTGCAAAAATATATGAATTTTTTAAAAAAGACAAAATAATGAATTCAACGCTACAACATGAATCATTTATCTTCTAGCTGTTAAGGTATCTTTCACATCGTAATTCCTCTGTTGCAAGGTGCTTCTGTCAAAAAAATCGCTGGGCAAGTAATCCCTTCTCAAAAGACAGAACAAATATCAGGATTGCAGATACGCTGACAGCCAGTCTATGCAATGATAAGTAACGGCCATTGGAAGGTCGAATCATAAGTGGACGGTTCAAGTGGAGCGGCCGAAGTGGGTTAAATTGATCAATAAATTGCGGCCCTTGGTAGGCCGAACCGTAATTTCTGAAGTAAACGGCCAGTCTGAAGCGTGGAAAATATAGAACGGCCATAGTCCAACACTGGTTGAAGTATGAGAGATTTATCCGTTAAAGAGATGGGGAATAACAGGTTGTAAATTACTACTGAACCAAGTATACAACTATAAATATTTTATGCTAAAATATTATACATCGTTTCGCTCGAAGGAGATTTTTTATATCGATCGTATGTAAAAGACTGGTGTTGGAGGCGTAATCCCTATCTACCAAAAATTCACATAGTAGTGCTTCTCGTGTACAGCTTTTTCAGATTTTTTTTTAGAATAAATCAGATGTAATTTTTTTTAACGAATGTTTACCGAAGGTAATATAGCCGACGTTATCACCCACACGTGCATCGGGACAATCGCGCAGTTCCAGCGGTGGTTCACCCACAGAATATAATACAGCTGGTGAAGTTTGCGATGCTTTTCGTCCCTCTCGGAACTCCTGCAAA